AAAACCATGCTGAAGAAGGATTGGCACCTTCAGGGTATCTTGCCACAGACACACTCACTGCTGCTACGGCTGCAGCACATGGGCCTTCCTACGATCCAAAATGAGATACGGGTCACGTGATCGTGAAGATTTGTCCGCCTAAAAATTTAGCGGATCTTTTGATTTTGATCAATGTTTAAAATTTTTAAATTTACGTCACTGACTTTAATTTTACGTCCTTGACTTTAATTTTACGTCCCTGACTTTAAAGTCGTCTAATTATAGCGCGATGGTTAGTACGCTGGCCTCGCAAATTATTACGAATGATTTCGTTTCACACTAGGAAACCCATACTGGTGATCATGAGCCCAAACAAATCTATGCGGTGTAAATATTTACTACTAGCTTAAAAGTCACACTCTCAGGCAGCATTTAAGCTAATTCCTGCGGAGGGCTCTTGGTTGAGCCTTCATCAAAATAGTTACGGAGGAGTAGATGCTATAGGCAACAATAAACTACAGAAGAACTCAAAACTGATTGATGCATTTAAGTATTGCATTAATATTTAAGCTTACCATTAAAAAGTTCAACAATAATTCTTCTGTCGCCACTTAATTTAAAGACAATATGATGTACGTAGGTCGTAACTTTCCGTACAAACAATTATTTCATCGGTGACTTTCGCTGAACTTCGCAATTAATTTTGATTATTCCTAAATTATTTATTTCCAACTTATAAAAATTGTTATCATACAAAAAAAAAGAAAAAAATCGTCACAAAAAATCACTTACAAAAATTGCCAAAAAATCCGCAGTAATGAAAACTTGTGAATCCAAAATTTCAGGATTTCGGGTCCGGATTTGGCTAGGAATGTTTTAATTTGCTCATGGAGTCGTCCTGATTTCAAAATACGTTGGGAGGGAGTAAAGTTGAAAAAGTGTGACACACTGACATTCTGATTAATGATATAAATTAATAAACTGAATATGCTAATCACGATCATGAAACCCGTAACCCCTGAGGGTCGTTGGGGCATCACAAGTACTGCAGCCGTAACAGCATCAGTGTGTCTTGGGCAAGATAGCCTGAAAGAACACAACTTTCCCTAGGCTGTTTTGAAGTTTGAGTTTTCCTTCTTTAAGACTAGTCGCCAACTAAGGCTATGGGACCCAGTTTGTCCTGCTATTTACCTACAGATGGGGTGGGCGGAGTTGGTTAGTTGATTTTGTTTAGCGTCATATCAACCTCTATGGGTTATTTAATGCCGAAATCTAAATATTTTGAACAAAATTTTATAGCTTCAACTAAATATATTTTGAACCTTGTATGCCTTCAAGTACAGATAAAACGTATTGTTGGTAATAAATTGGTATCAATAGGTATTGTTAGTAATTTTTATATAAAAATTTATTGCTGATATTTTTACTATAAAAATTTATCTTTATACTTTCATAGTATTTTGTTTTTGTTTGGGAGTTCACCATTTGCTCATAGTTGGGACTCTAACAGGTGCTACTACTCCAGACCAGGGAACAACAGCAATTAAGTGGTGATTCCACGCTCCTCAAAACCTGCACTCTCTCGATCAGAGGCCTTACTGCCGTATGTAGTTTATCGTCATACTCAGGAATTGGTGAAGAGACGGTTTCATACCTTTTTGAGGTATATTAGCATATAAGTGAATATAAAGAACTCGACTGGAATTCGAACTCTGACCCAATTGGACCTCTCTGACTCCACCGTGCCTCTTCAATATGGGAATATTTAAATTATATATTACTTCGCATAAACGGGGATGCTACCTTATTGTCAGAGATCGATGTTCTTGACCGTCTGAATTAAGCGGAATCGAATATATATCTATATAATATCTTTTGCAGAAGTTGAATATTCGATAAACATTGAAGACATCAACATTCAGCTCTATCAAGCACATCTACACATGACACGTACTGAAACGATAGTAGTACCAGCAAACCCAGACCTCTTGGATTTCGAAGGTGTCACAAAAACAGTGTCCGTGTTGGCAGGGCCTGGATTGGAAGATGAGATTCAGTCTCGCTTTATGGCGCCGCTTCCGTTGGGTGAAACTGTTGTCACGCATGCATACAATATGAAGCATAAGTACATTATGCATTGCATCATACCTCATTATACAAAAGAACTATCGTCGAAAAATATTCGCATGGCTCTGGTCGACTCCATTGGGCTGGCATTCTCCCTCTGTGAGGATCTTGAAGTCAGCTCTGTTGCGATGCCTTTACTTGGAAATGGTAACTATTTGAAACTATTTATTGTTTGTTTTGCTATTTAAATTTTTTTGAAGAATCATCATTCTTATGTTAATGATTAAATAAACTCCGAGCGAGTTATTCGACTATAAAAGACTCGGGGAAATTCCACTGCTGAATCCATAAACATTTAAGCTTAACAGATGTGACTAAATGCATAAGCATTTAAACATAGGATTGTGAGCATTATTTACATTATTATTTATTGACCTCATCTTTGTCGCCATATTTATTACAACGTTCGACCTTATCACTTGGTTGGAATGTCAAACTGAACCCTTTATTTTACTCGCTAGGGTAGACTGTTCTAGTTCCACGTGCCATGGATGTCAGTTATCAGTTATCTCCTGTTAATTTCCCTCTGAAAGTTCTCCACTGCCTTAACTTTATTTTAACCAGGTATTGAACTCACACTCTTTGGGTCCTGTCACTGGAGCAACGCCTTTATCAACTGTGCCATGTGTCATTGAGAACATCTGTGCATGAATTTCTGAGTATTATAAACCTAATGTCTTCAGCATCCATTTTTACCAGTGCTCATATTGCAATTTTTTGCGGTTATCAATCCATATTTTTACCAGAGCTCATAATGCAACTGTTTGTTGTCATTATCGCTTTTCTCTTGCACTCCTTATTACTGGTTCCCATATTGTATTCATTTCTATGTTTGGTTGGTTCAGGAGATTTTTGTGGCTAGCATATGTGCTGATTCCTTAAGTTTACGAATTTTCCATTGGTGTTCCTTGTCTATGATCCAAACCTGATCCCACAGAGGGCGGTGATCTCTTTTCTCTCCCCATATGTGGTCAGCCACGCCTAATTTTTCCACTTCCCCTCGTGTTCTGGTGTTCTTGACGCCTTACCTTAAGGGGGCGGCCTATCTCCCCTTTATATTTCTTTCCGCAGCTGCACGGGATAGCGTACACACAGTCTTTAGTTATGTTCTCCTCTAGTAGGGGGTCTTACTTGGGAGAGATATCTGCGAAGTGTCGTCAATCTTTTGAATGTTGTCCTGATGTTATATGGATTGCAGATCCTTTGTATTTTCTCTGATAGCCCTTTCATATAATGCAAGCAGACTGTTTTCTGAGTGTTTTTGTCCTCCTCTTGTACCCGCCTATCCCAGTTTTTTGGGGCTGCTGCCATATACTCAGGGTAGTTATTACGTTGTAGGGTACTACTGATACTGACCAATACTTTATCTAATGTCTCTGGGTCGCCACTTATGACTTTTGCTCGGTGTTGTAAGCAGCGGACGATCCCATTCTTTACGCTATATGGATGGTGGATGTTGAAATTGAGGTACTGTCCGGTGAATGTCGGTTTACGGTATACGGATGTCTTGAACCCATGCTCTGTTCGAGATATTAGAACATCCAGGAATGGGAGTGTGTTGTTACTCTCTTTCGTTGTAATAAATATGGCGACAAAGATTAGGACAATAGTCCGAATAATGTAAATAGTATACATAATACCTCATCTCAGAAATATAGACAGATACTGAAAGGCCGATACATTGTAATAGATATGGAGACATAGATAAGGAAAATAGTCCGAATAATGTAAATAATGTACATAATACCTCATCTCAGAAATATAGACAGATACTGAAAGTTCGATACGTTGTAATAAATATGGCGACATAGATAAGGACAATAGTCCGAATAATGTAAATAATGTACATAATACCTCATCTCAGAAATATAGACAGATACTGAAAGGATTGTGAGCTTGGTTTCTCTTTCTAACACCGTTTTTTTTCTCTTTTATTTCGTAAATAAAATTATGAACATTGTACATAAAAATCGGGGTGAAATTTTATAAATTGTTATTATCAAACAACAAAAAATTGTGCATAGGGAGATTAGTTCTGATTTCATAGAGAATTTGTGGTGTTATGGTGATTGTGGTGAGACTGGTAAGTAAGTTTGCATTGCTTTGGTGAAAGGCATATTGTCGAATGATTGGTTCAGTGACTGTGACTCAGTTAAATGGTAGGACAGATGAAGACCAACCCCGCCCGTCCCAACAATCTGTCACGTGCCGTATTTTATGCATAAATACATGAAATAATTTGCTTTTATTATTTCGAACTACTGTTCTCATCTTGATTGGTATAGCCGTTATTATAGACACAACGTTTCGACCAAGTACTTTCTGGTCATCATCAATTGTCCAGTGGTTGGCTGATTATGGGATATCCGTTGATTATTGTTGTATTTTTTATCCCTGTGATATCAGCTATTGTTAATTTTTGTTGAATTTAATTAATTCATGTTTCACTATCAAAGTCAGGGTTTTAAATCGCGACCATTAGATGACAGGTTCTGAGTTCAATCACGTCAGGCAGTAAAACACCGACTTAGTAAGAATTAATAATATCTGATGCTGCTGGGATAAATTATCACAATAATCGACAGATATCCCATATCAGCCAACCACTTGACACTGATGATGACCAGAGTGTACGTGGTCGAAACTTTGTGTCTATGATAACATTTTTATCAACCAAGATAACAATGTTTCGAAATAATACAAGAATATTGACAATTACTCATCTCTGAAATGAAATACTAAATTATGAATAAATATGTTTTGCAATCAAATAATTCCTAGATTGCCGTCATATTCCGATTAAACTCTTTGCTGAGAGTTTAGCAGAAGCCATGGAGAAGTTTCTGATAGATCACGGGGAAAACCGGATCCTGTCCTTCATCCATATCGTCGACATGGACCTTGGTGCAATCGAAAAACTCAAGAACCTCTTGTCGTGGACTTTCAAGATTCGTCTCCGTCTTTTACGGAGATCCGACGTCGACAGGTCAGATTTCACGGTGACACCGACCAGGAGGCTATTGCCGACATCATCCGCGGTCATCATCGTAGTATCAAAACCGCATTTTGATCTAATAAAGGAGCGCGTCGTTCGAGTTTATTCCAACGAATACAAAGTCCGATCGGTCAGCGCCAACTCGATTTTATTGACAGATTTAAGACCGAGAGAACAACGTCTCGTGAAAGATGTCGTTTATTTGAAGGCACCACGCAATATGCAAATGTTACACGTTTTCAAGCGAGCACTATTCACAGAGTTAAAAGTTCTGCTTTCTTGTGGTCGTCGGAATATTTCGCTGGTGATGGACAAAGGTATTGGTGACTTTCTTGCTTTCTTGCTTTCTTTCATTTTTGATTTTTTTCTTTCTTAATTCACGAGCCGATTTCGAATTCCAGTAAGGTCTATTACATTCAATTACGCGCAAAATAATATTGGGAAAGTTATAAATCGATGTCATCCAGGAGCTATGGGTTAAATAGCATAACTTGTATCTGTTAAAATCATTGTTATTATCAAAAAATGTTAATGCAATATTCATTCACAAAAAAATGAATTATTCTTATAATTTGAAATATGTTTCGTTTTAAATGACCCACAAGAGGTTGATAAGCCGTAAAAAACAAATCAATCTACAATCTTTTTTTTTTTTTAATTTAGTTCTTACTTATCTTGTTCATACCTATTTCTCTCTAGTCTCTGTAAATTCATATATGTTTATCTGCCTTCATCACTAAGTTTGTTCATATCTATCTATCTATCTATCTATCTATCTATCTATCTATCTATCTCAGATTATTTATGTCCCTTCTTAAATCCTGTATATTTTGTTACTTATCATCACTCGCGTCCTTTCTTTAACGTAATAAGTAAAAAAAGTAGTGAAGCTGTGAAGTAGTAGTTAAAGAAATAGTGTAGCTAGAACAAGAATAATCAGACATTCTCTCTTCGAGGTGGTGTCAATCGCTAATACAAAAACTATGTCACGGTGATAAAATACCCATACATATCTATTTTTAACAGTCCGAATAATGTAAATAATGCAAATAATCATAATACCTCATCTCAGAGATATAGAAGCCAAAACGTTGTGAATATGCCAATGAAGATGAGGATAACAATCCGAATAATGTAAATAATGTAAGTAATCATAATACCTCATCTCAGAGATATAGAGGCCGAAACATTGTGAATATGCCAATGAAGATGAGGATAGCAGTCTGAATAATGTAAATAATGTAAGTAATCATAATACTTCATCTCAGATATATAGAGCCCGAAACGTTGTGAATATGACAATGAAGATGAGAATAACAGTCTGAATAATGTAAATAATGCAAGTAACAATAATATTGTAAAAATTTGCATAAAACTAAATTTATTGTAAGAATTTTTTTTTAAAGATAATAATGAATTTAGTGACACTTATTAATCCATAGCTGAGCGAGAAGAAGTGGCTTCATACATTTCCCAAAGGGTATTTGAGTGTAAGTGAATACTTTACCTTGCATGAGCAGAACAACATGACAATTTATTTGGATAACGTATTTACCAGTGCGTTACACGCCGTAACCGAATGTGACAAAAGGTCAGTTTCATGTGGGTTTACGGGCAATACCGTGAAAAAATTGCTTATGTACCCTCGCCACACTCGACAGTTACGTACTGCCTAGGGCTTATGCTTAATATTATTTTGAAACTTAACTGACACATGCCGGATAGGGTAATTATTTCTCCGTTGCGTCTTTGTCTTCGAGCAGACTGCGACTTAGTTGTGGCTTTGTCCCTGGACAGAGACGCAGCTAAGGAAAATAAAATAATGTGAGGTGCCCGGTCCCGAGGAACAGCTGCTCATGGCTGCACCTCTCCATTGCACTAAAGAGAGGAATCGGTAGTCATACCGAGAGCCCAGCGCAATCGACGATTGCGGTGACTGGGCAATTTTTGTACCTGACCCGGGTGTACACGCTCGGGTTCTCCACGTTAAACCCAATTAGTGTCATATCATGTCTCAGTGGCGAGACCGGGGTAAATAACCAACTGAAGACGAAATTTACACTGGATTATCAACATTTTTATATAACTAACAAACTGCATTTATAATATAAACGGTAATAATTAATTTACATGATAATTTTTAAAAGTATATTTTAAATAATATTTAATCTATGTTATTCATTTTTTATTCAAATTTTTAAAATTACTATATAAGTAATATAAAGTTTTGCGCATACAAAGTTTTGCTTTTAAATTCACTGTGTCCTTTAGAAAGAATTTGTGTTAGCCTTGTTAAAATTCAGTCGTAAATTAGAAAAAAAAACATAAAAAAGAAAACGTAAAATGAATGTAATCTTAGTTTAAAAAATAACTTTTTTTAAGATGCGAATATAAATAAATCATTTTAAAATATTACATTTTTTGTAGAATTTTATACTTTTAGGCTAGTTAGTTAATTACTACTTTAGTGTGCGTAATAACTATTGTTGTCGTCTGACATTTCACATTACGCCAAATTAGTTGACTGGAGCTAAGAAAAAAGAATTTCGGATTTAACTAAATAAGTCAAAATATTCTGTTTAATTAGATTTTCTTAAAACTTCAGGAAATTATTCTAAGAAAAAATAGTAAGTTTTCGGAATAAATTGTTATTATTCATATTATTATTATTATAAAGATTAGAAAATTATTCAAATGTTTCTCTCATTGCCAGTTCTATGTAGCTATGTCCAGAGTAGGGCATTCTAATGGATATGGCATAATGATAAAAGGGAATATATCTTTTAATGGAAATGTTCATACAGAAATTTTAGAAAGGTTAAAGAACTCTCATTACAATTTAGTTTTCTCTGTATGTAGGACGAATATTTGGCGACTCATTGAAAATAAGTATATTTAAAATGCCGTCATTATTAACTGCATAATTAAAAGAACATAATATGATTAATATTAATAATTACTAATATAATATAATATCCCTGTTGTGTTTGCATTAATGTTTGGCCTCTAATGATCCATCCTGACAGCCACAACACGTTGAAACAAGTTAAACAACGTCGAGCCTGGTCAGTACCTAGATGGGTGACCTCTCGGGAATGCCAGGCATTGCAAGTTTGGATGTGCGTGTGGTGTAATGGATAATGACTTGGAATTGTTAATCGGAGAGCCGAGTTTCAATTCCAGTCGGTTTCGTTATATTTATTTACACTCAAACTCCTTTCTTTGGGGAAGGTATGAATCCACCTCTTCTCCCACCTGCTATGGGTTAATTAGTAAAACTCGTGTCATTAAATCCATTATTATCTTTTAAAAAATAATTCTTACAATCTAAAAATAATTTCTGGCTTTAAATGGTCCGCAAAGGGTTGATAATCCGTAGAAAATGAATGAATCAATCAATCACTCTAATGATCCTCTTTTTCCTGATTTTCTAGTCACAATATGTAGATTGTGTACTGAAGCGTCATTTATTCCTGTTCATGCCTTTCCCGAGGGCATTAGTGCAAACGGAAGAATTATCTCAGTACGAGATTGTAAAAAAAAAAAAATAATAATAACAAAAAACACACAAAAAAAAACAAAAACAGATGAACATTTAAGCTTGTATTGAAGGTTTATTCAACACAATTTGACTACTGTTCATAAGTCAAGATCGACCATTTCTTTTATAGTCGAGTAGTTTGAATGGGGAGACAGTTTCCGCTCTAAGTGACGGGCTCTCGTCAACTCAGATGTCAGCGCCGACTATCTATGTTGTCCCTTATGGTTCAATATTCAGCTTCCAGGCTCCAGCCGTTCGGTCGGCCGTATGACGCGTACAAGTAGACAATCGCCGGAATTATAGCAATAAATTTGATATACGTGGGTTACAAATATGTATAAATATATCGGGATCTGTACAGAATAACCAGCGATAGAAATTGTAACTAAAGAAATATCTCGTTGTTTTTATTTGCTTTTCATATTTTTGTTCTGTTCCTAATTTCAAAGAGATTCGGTTGAAAAGAGTCTCTTTCGGATTCCATTATCTGATGTATGCATATATGAAAAAAAAGAAGACGACTTGACCAATCAGAATTATTTTCTATATTTCAGATGCACTATTTATGGAAAGAACCAGTAAGTATGTGAAAGAATCACGTGATTTTTTTAATCGATGTTCATTGGTCGTTGATTGTTGTTAGAAATACAGAAGCAGAATATGCTAAAGTTAGGATGCTCATTTCCGTTGGTAGTTGCATAATTAAAAGAAAAGAACTTGTAGTTCCAACGAATGATTTATTTTTATGGAAATATTTCGACTAGCAGTTGTCAGTCTTGGTCACTCATTAATTTGAGTAAAAACAGTGCAAAGAAGTTCGAAACTCTTAAGAATTTGAATCAATGAGAACAAACTGAGTTGATGACGTTTACAATGTAATAGCAAGTTGAGGCGTAAAAAAAAATGACTTTTTTTTTGTCATATCATATTTTTCTTTGGAGCAGAGATGCCCAGACAGGATGGAGAGGTGTTGCATCTTTCCCATTGCAGGCATTTTTACATGCCATTACAGAATTGATTTCGACTATCCGGAAATAAAATTGACGAACCAAAAGCATTTCAATCAAAGAAGAGTAGTTGAACAAATGGTAATAGCAACTACAAAAAATGCCTGCAATAGGATAGATGCAGAACAACTCCATCCTGTCTGGACATCTCTGGTCCAAAGAAAAATATGATATGACAAAAAAAAAAAAAAAGAAAAAAGAAAAAAAGTCAATTTATATCGTTGGAACTACAAGTTTTTTTTTCTTCAGAATATGCTAATATGAAGAAGTGCACAAATGCACGTTTCGTCATCGCCTCCCCCCCACCAAATAATAACAGTTAGATAAGCGATGGACTATGATTGAAGTTGGGCTCCCCCCCCACACACACACACCGGATTCTTCCGGAGGGATTGGTAGAGAGGAGGAGGAGGAGAAAGATGTTTTCCCCATCGGGGTAGATGCTGCGGTTGTAATATCTGTTCCGTGCGGAGGCCTTCTCTCCTCCCTTGCGTCTCCCTCCTCACGTTGCGTAACATCTGTTCAGTAGTGTTGGTATGACCGGCTATGATTAGCTTAGACGAGCTCTGACCAACTTAGACAATCTATCTTGCACGTTTACAAATCTATCATTTGTTCGTTCATTGAACACTGTTGTCATATTTGGTCTGCTGCTCTTTCTTTACATCTAGAGATTCTCGACAAAATATAAAGAAGGATTTGTAATGTAACTGATTCTGACTTAGCATCTCGACTTCAGTCATTCCCCCACCCCAAACGTAACGTGGCTTCCCTCTGTCTTTTCTACAAATATTTTCATGGCAATTGCTCTGATGAACTTTTTTCTTGGTATCCAGACGGCATGAATTTAGGCGTGCTACTAGATTGGCATCTAGGCCCCACCATTTTGCTGTTGAGATAGCTAAATGCAACCGCCACTTTCTTTCTCGCACTTCCAACCTGTGGTACTTCCTTCCGTTTACTTGCTTTCCTGATAACAACATTCTTCAAAAATTTAAGTGCAACCTCAATCGCCATCTTTTATCTTCTTGAAGCGCATTCATCTTTTGTCCTTTCCTCAATCCTCCCTTGTTTCATTCTTCTCTTTCACTTACCAATCCTCTGCATACTAGTGGCATTACCGCCTTGTTTGGGATGAAGTGATTAAAAAAGTAAAACGATGCATCCTTCCTATGATAAGAATATTATATTTTCTGCTTTCATTGACTCTACTCCAGGGGTCGGCAACTCATTCGACCCCACGGGCCGGATCGTGTTATAATGACGGGTCGCTGGCCGGACGAAGGCCATTAATGAAAAATTAAGGAAAATTACATATGCAGACCCCTGTCAACCTAAATGTTTAAAACCATAATGAAAATAAACATTGAGAAATCAGAAAAACAAAAGAAAAATCTAAAATTAAAAAACACCTAACAAAAATTATTTTTCCTCAAGGAACGTCAAAATACTTCAAAGTGAAAAAAATCAACCGAAGTGAAATGGATGAAATTATGACGTGTAGGTTTGAAACTGTTATTGAAAATTGTTCCACAAACGAACCACACACACACACACATAAAACAAAAACGAAGCACATATACCCATACATACGAGTAGAAATAGTTACAAACATATACACTTACGTACGTACACATGCGGTATCATCCACACATTCATGAGGCATGTATGTATAATGCACGTATGTTTAACTGTCTTTAGATTTCTGCTATCTCGCATGTCAGTCCCTCCCTGGCCTCTTTCACTTTATTGTTCCTTTCGCTTCTGTTACCTTTTAATGCAGCCAAGGGTCATAACAAATATGTATCCATTATTTGACATAAAGCGTAGCCAACGCAACTTGGTAAAATAAGTCTCATGAAAGATAACTGGCAGATAGTCTAATTCGAAAGCCTCGTCTCTCATGTTAAAAATAAAGTCATTGGTAATCAGGCTCGCGGGCCGGTCAAAATGCCTTCGCGGGCCGGTCAAAATGCCTTCGCGGGCCGGATCCGGCCCGCGGGCCGTAGGTTGCTGGCCCTTTCTCTACTCCAAACTTTGAGTTTAGACTTAAAGTAAGACGAATGAATTAACAAGGAAAATGAGTCAAGATTGGGTATAAAAAAGCAATTAAAATATTAACATTGCATGAGATATTAGTTAAGCTTAAATGTTTCAGTGGTAAATAAAACATATCATTGAATATAATGTCACACAGACTTTGTACACAATTAATGAGTAGGTGTTTCATGCACATGACATCAATAAGGAAAGGCTAGAAGAAAAACAGAAAGAAAAAATAGGGCAACCTTTAAACACATGTTTAGGTTTTATTAGAATTCTAATCATCGCTTTTTAAAACAATAAACATTACCGAAGATTGAACATAGTGAAAATAATAGCAATTGAAAAACCCGCTCGTTAACACGCCGTATGTGTGTGCACGAAGATTACCCGAAATAGATTAACAAAAGAGTTTCTTACCAAACAATCTGAAAATCGTAAAAAAATTTGAAGTGATCAATAGAAACTTTTTTTTTTAATTTTGGTGGCAGAAATAAATTTGATTGGTTAAAAAATGAAATCTCTAATTTCTATTGGACGTAAAAGTATCCCAAATAAAGCGAGCTAACCGCAATTATGTTAGATTAAAACGACACTAGAGGGAAAATATTATTATAATTATTAATTACTTTTGACATCTCAGTAAAAGAAAGACTTAATAGTCAAATAGATTATTGACATATGTAAAAATTCCTCTGTTAAAATTACTGAAAATTTAAAATTACAAAAATTTTTACTCTGTTAAAATTATCTGAAGTAAATTGAGTGTAAAAGTTAGGTACGATTATGATGTATTTTAAACTTCTGTGAACACGAGCAGAAAACGTAGGAAAAAGCTAGAAATGTTTCCAATGAAATAATTTGGATAGCAATAAAGATAATTGATTGTTATTATCTTCGTATTTCTCTAGTTAAAAACAAGAACGGTTTAATAGGAAAAATACATAAATATACTGGCTTTGTCTAGAGTTTGCATATAGTTACCGCAGTGTATCTATTGTACACAGAATGTGTAAGACGATCTTCCCTCTGTCTTTCCTACAAATATTTTCATGGCTACTGCTCTGATGAACTTTTTTTCTTGGTGCCCCGACAACATAAATTTAAGCGTGCTACTAGACTGGAATCTAGGTCCCACCATTTTACTGTTGAGAGATTTAACTGTAACTGCCACTTCTATTCCAACAATTTATTTTCTTGCACTTACAACCCGTGGAACCCACTTCCGTTTATTTGCTTTTCTGATAACTAGACTGTTCAAAAATTTAAATGCAACGTCAATCGCCATTTTCTATCTTCTTGAACGACATTTATCTTTTGACCTTTTGTCAATCCTTCCTACACTCAGTCTTCTCTTTTACTTACCAACCCCCTGCGTAATCGTGGCTTTACTGCTTTGCTTGGGGTGAAATTATTAAAAAAATAGTAAAGCAACGCATTCTTCATAGATAAAACTATATCGTCTGCTTTCAATGACTCTACTCCAAACTTTATAACTTTAGACTTAAGACAAGACGAATGAATTACCAAGGGAAATGAGTCCAGATCGTGTATAGAAAATGAATATCATTAGAATATTAACAATTCCTGGGACATTAGTTAAGTTTAACAAAGGTTTGAATGATAAATAAAGCATATAACTGAATATAATGCGACAAAGACTTTGTACAAAATTACTGAATAGGTGTGTCTTCTACATGACGTCAATAGGGAAAGTTTATGTTGGAAACAAAGAAACGAAATTGATTACCAAACAATCTTCATGTGGTAAAATATTTGAAGGTATTTTTTGCTTGAAAAGTCTTGGAAGAACCCATGTTGCAGAATTTATGCTAAGTAAGATGTGTCAGAAGGTGAAATTGCGTGAAGGCCTAAAATGTGCGTGTACATTATGCATTTATCCACAACAAATAAATTAAACAAACATATGAAGACAATACAACTTGAAGAAATCAAGGAAAAAACAACGTAGTTATAGATTTCAACAATAACATGAATTTATATAAATATATATTTGACATACACAAAGTGATGATAGGTTGCTTGTTAAACATGCTAAGTGAGATAAGATTGCAAAGAGCGTCCATGCAGAGATTTGGTGAATGAATGTTGATGGTTTAAGTTTATTTGGGAAATTAAAACAGTTTGATTTTTACAAGGTAAAATGTTAATTGTGTGAGTTCAAATAATAGTGTGTATGTGTGTGACAATTGTAAGTGTTGATCCAAGTTATGAAGAGTTGTGTGCGTTTGACTGATATGCTAAAGTTGACTAAATGTACAATTACTATTTTGTAAGGAAAATATTACTTTTGTAAGTTAAGTTTCCTCACGCGGCAATAATAGTGCGGGTTGTGTTGAGTTGATGAGAGGCTGGTAGTGTTATTGAGTCAGTGTGTTGGCACGTGTGGAGTCTGCTGGCATCTCTCAAAACTCAATGTCTGACTGACTTGAATTAAGTCAAGCGATTCTTTTTTTTTTTTTATAGATTTTTGGGTTTTCAAATAGGCTCTCGAAAGCTGCGCGGGAAAAAAGGATTTGTCTCACCTTGCTACATTTTTGTGTCCTTTTAACCAATAGGAAGTGCAGTTTGGAAAAGTGAAGTGATGATTAGTTAAAGGTTAATTTGGGGAAGAGTGCATCTTCTCGTAGGGGGTGACAGGCAAGTATGGAGGATTTCATACCCACATAACCTTTTTTTTAAACTTTCGGTGAGAAAAGTACTGAAGTCGAGATGCCAGGTCAGGATCGATTAAATTACAGATCAAATGGAATCTTCAAAAATTTAAGTCCAACGTCAATCGCCATCTTTTATCTTCTTGAACAACGTTTATCTTTTGTCCTTTCCTCAATATGGCATATCTGGATTTTGTCGAGAATCTCTAGATGTACAGAAGGAGCAGCGGGCCAGATATGTCAGCGGTACTTAATGCATAGATGAATGCTAGAGTTGTAAATGTGCAAGATGGATTCTTATTGTAACTATTAATTATTTTTGACATCTCAGTAAAACAAAGACTTAATAAGCAAATAGATTATTGAAATATGTAAAACACCTTTATGCTTTGTTAAACTATAAAGTCGGGGTAACAGGCAAGTTATTTCAATAGTAAACATATTATTCAATATGCTTTCAAAAACAACTATATATATATATATATATATATATATATATATATATATATATATATGTAGTTGGATTGGTCTGTGTTTGTGACCCTGGGTTTCACGCTATTTACCAAATAGCATGAAAGCCAGGGTCACAAACTCACCTCAATCAACTAAATATGTTAGATCTATCACTGATATGGAGCGCTTTTTCAATAAGCACTGAGCAGATATAATATATGAATAATATTATAATTATTTAAAAAAAATATATTTCCATCGCTACATAAGAGTTCTGATGTTTCAAAAATAGAAGCTAAAAAAAACAGCCCTATTTCATCCTCAAGCAAATTTCAGAATAACTGATCTTGAAATTTACGGAGCTTTATATATATATATATATATATATATATATATATATATATAAATTGCATATATATATATATATATATATATATATATATATATATATATATATATATATATATAATAAATTGCATATATATATATATATAAATTTCATATATATATATATATATATATATATAAATTGCATATATATATATATATATATAATTGCATATATATATATATATATATATATATATACACACACACATATATATATATATATAAATGATTGATTAGTTTGTTTTCTACGGATTATCAATTCTTTGAAGGTTATTTAAAGCCTGAAAATACTTTTAGATTGTAAACATGTTTTGGGGTTGTCATAATAATGTTTTAGGGATACAAGTTTTACTAATTAACCCATAGCCGTTGGAGAAGAGTTGGATTCATACCTTTCCCAAGGGTATTTGTGCGCAAGTGAATATAACGAACCCAACTGGAATTGGAACTCATTTCCCCCATTAACAATTCTGGGCTATTATCCATTACACCACCCTCACATCAAAGATTACAGTACCTGTTATTCCCAAGCGGTCACCGATCTAGGTACTGACAGGCTCGACTTTGCTTAAATTTAGTGATCGTATGGGAACTGATGTTTTAACGTGATATGGCCGTAAGGATAAGTATACAAGGTAAGTAAGATTAGGAAGTATTTTAAGTTCCTGTGAAGCCCAGTAGAAAATGTAAGGAAAAACTGGAAAGAAAATAAGAAAGAAACGAAATAGGTTAACAAACAAATTTCCTACTAAACACTCTTCAAGTTGCAATAATTTGAAAGATGTTTGCTACTTCAAAATGCTTGGAAGGATCCACAGAAGCGTTTATTATTTTTAGTGACAGAAATAAATGTGAATGGTTAAAAAATATCATTTGTATTTAGACGTCATGGCGTTACGAACAAAGGGAGCTAACTACAATGGCGCAAGAATAAAGCAATAGAGGAAAAAGCATTATTAGAATTGTTAATTTCCTTTAACATCGAAATAAAAAAAAATAATGTGCAGGCAAATCGATTATTGAAATATACCCTTTGTACTTTGTTAAAACGTGGCTTTGAGTGCCTAAGTATGTAGACGCAATCAATATCTTAAACTTGTCGAAACCTGCGCCGGTTTTCACCAACTCAAAGTAAAGGAAAACATTAATAATTACACTTTACCGAAAAGAGTAATTATTATGTATATTATAATATCTAAGCATTAGATACAATGACGAGTTTCCCACTTTGCATATATATATATATATATATATATATATATATATATAATAATAATAATAATAATAATAATAATAGCTGGCTACTCGTATTCGAGGATACCAGTCAACTAGTCCTTAGCAACTGTAAGAGTTAACAGTATGAAAATAGCATTCTCTAAATTCTTCCAGTTACTAAGGACATTTTCTTTGTTATTATTAGTTACTTTGCTTAATAAATTCATTTCGTTTTTTGCCTTGAAAAGTTAACATTGGAGAAACGCGTCGGCTACTATTACAGTTTTCCTATTGTCTTTTACATATATATATATATATATATATATATATATATATATATGAGATAACGATATATATTTTATATATGAAGAACAGTATTGGAAATAATAGGGAAATTGTATGACAAAGTTTAAAAAGTTTACTTGTGAGACGTTTTGTTCTTCAGGATTTCAGCGGAGTAATTTTGCTCATTGTAACGCGACTTTGACATAAACAATGCTACTCTGATCAAAGGAGAAAAATAATTCGTTACGACATAAATGTCTTAGAGAGCGCCTTATTCGCAAGCTCATCTACAGTAGAATTTGTGCCTTGCTCTTACAACATTTCACCATTCCTGGTAGATTTTCTAATGTCACAGTTGGGAATATATACTTACAAAAGAGATGGAAAGAAAAAAAGACTCTAAATGAATTCGGTTAGATAAAAAAAAAACATTCCCAGCACCACTCTGTCCTACCAACATAACAAAATTTAGTCCTATGAAGTCCTGAAGGACGAAACGCGTCACAAACATTTTCCACTTTCTCATAAAATTTCACCAATATATATATATATATATATATTGGGGAAATTGTATGACACACACACACACACACACACACACACACACACACACACACACACACACACACACACATATATATATATATATATATATATATATCAAAATTTGTTTTAGTTAAGGCTTTTACATTTATAAAAATACAATTTTTCAAGTGTACGAATATTTATTTCCCCCCACTATATATATATATATATATATATATATATACTAGGAGGGTTAATAAAATTTGGGGAATAGAAAGCCAACAAAATGATAACAATATTAGCAATAAAATTGATGATATTTATTATATATTAAACTTTAGACGAAATTTAAGGATCCCCGTTTAATCCCACAGAGAGTATAGTTTCCACATGGAGACCTCTGACCACCCACAGCAACATTCCTCATAAGATTAAGTCCCACTATTTTATTCTTCGTATCGTTGAAAAAGGACGCAGGCGTGTCCGAAATTTCCAACTTTAAAGTTTTTCTCTTCGTGCTTCAAGTTAGTCAAAAGGCTAAATAAATATAATAAATATATTCAATCATATTGTTATACATGACAGCGTGAGAATCAACAGAACCATGTATTTAAATACATTCAAATATGTTATGACTGCTTTGAAGTGTAGTTTTGTTGAGTGTGGGTCGCTTTGTTTTAATGTAGATAGCCTCCAATATCTCAAGGTTCTTTTTACTGTGTGTATGTTTGATCATTGTTGTGTAATGGATATCAGCTCGGAATGAGAAATCGGAGAGCCGAGTTCGAATTCCAGTCGGGCTCGTTACATTTACTTACACGCAAATACCCTTGGGAATTGTATGAATCGTTCTCTTCTCCCCATATCTATGGGTTAAATACCAGGATATACCAGTCTACAGCAGAAAGAAACGGCAACCTACTACGGGAAAGTCTTCTGTCTAGTCAGTCACCAATTGAAAGAGACATGATCGCCCAAGCGTGTATCACGAATGGCACTTAACTGACGGTTAGAAATCAATCCTACTGATTGCAATTATGCAACTACTTCAGCCACTGGGCAGGCCACATGTCAATTCGTTTAATTTTCAATTGAAACTTTATTACTTGCATTATTTACATTACTCAGACCGTTAACCTTATCTTCATTGCCATATTCACAACGTTTCGACCATTGTACGCCCCGGTCTTCTTCATGTGATTTTCATTTCAAACTTAATCCTTTATATCTGTCTATATCTCTGATATAAGGTATTATAATTACTTGTATTATTTACATTATTGGGACTGTTATCCTCATCTTCAATGCCATATCCACGACGTTTCGACCGTTGTACGCTCCTGCCTTCTTCAGGAGATTGGGATTTCGAACCGTCCAGTGGGGTAGATTGTTCTAGTTCCAAGTGCCATGACTCTTCCAGATGTCTCAATGGCCGAAACGTTTTGAATATGCCAATGAAGATGAGGATAACGGTCCGAGTAATGTAAATAACGCAAGTAATCATAATACCTCATCTCAGATATATAGACACATATTGAAACCTTATTAGTAATGCAGTGGTTCATAAAAATATGACAATCGAAGAGCCGAGTTCGAATTTTAGTTGAGTTGGCTAGATTCACTTACTCGCAAATATCCTTAGAAAAAATTAGGCTTTTATCACTTCTCCTCCAACCATATTTTCCGGATTGGAAGACGCATAATATTGGAAAGAAATTCTAAGAAAAAAAAAGTCATTCGCAGACAATACCACTTTCACTATGCGTCCCTCACATACTGGCACCACGTGTTGTTTATTAATCACTCGTCCAATTGTGTTTGTATGACAATACTAGTCAAGAGCAGAAAGGCTCCCACCACTGCTAGTAAACAGAGCATTTTAAAGCTTGTGACTCGGCTCCAGGAAGGTTCTATAATCTTGACAATACTTCTAACAGCTAACTACCGAGGTTACATCATATAAAAGGCTGAATTAGATAGATAGCTAATGTTATAGTGTAATGACTCAACATCCAAATCCACGTCCCTATCAATCAAGTCAATTAGGTGACCGTCCAAGCTTACTTGATTTTGGGCCTTGACTTACATTCGTCTTGGAAGATGCACACTTATTTTTTGTAAACCAGAAAATACGGTATATGTGTGTGTGTGTCCCTCACATACTGGCGCCACGTATTGTTTACATTAATCACCGATTTTGATTGTATGGCATACTAATCAAGAGCAGAAGGGCTCCCTCTGCTGCTAGTAAACAGAGCATGTTTAAGCTTGTGGCTCGGCTCTAGGAAGGTTTATAGTTTTGGAAATACTTGCAACAGCTAAATACTGACTCAACATCCAAATCCACGTCCCTATTAATCAAGCCAATTAGGTGACCGTCCAAGCTTACTTGAGCCTGGGCGTTGCCTTACATTCGTCTTCGAAGGCGCACACGTATTTTTCAGGGTATTTCATAGGATTAAAAGTTCCTCTTGTAAGGTAAATAACAGAATACACTGAAACATGAAATTGCTGACCTATTTACTTCAATAACTGACCGTTAATTATTTTTGTGCACATCTCAAAACGATGCATTTTCGGATTATCTGCCGGCACGGAAATTATCAATTTAATATTCATTACTTTTCTATTATAGCTAATAATCTAGTTATGGATTGAATAGCAGCACGGGTTGGGTTCTGTAGCCTTGGATGGCAAGCAGTCTATCGCAGAAAGGCAACCTACTGCAGGAAAATCTTCTACCTTGTCAGTCATGAATCAAAAGAGTCATGATTGTTCAAGCGTACACCTCGTATGGCACTTGACAGACTGACTTTTAGGAATCACTCATACTGATTCCAATTATGCAATTAGTTCAGCCCCTGAACGGGCCACATGTCAATGCATCTAATTTTCAATTGAAACCTTATTTGTACCCGGGTGATTCGTAAAAAAGATAATTGATCTGCCAGCCTGTAGAAATTATCACTTCAAAATTTTTAAAATTTTTTCTATTAAAGCTAAAAATCCAGTTATGAGCTGAATAGCAGCATAGATTGAGTCCTCAAGCCTTGGTTGGCAACCAGTCTACCATAGAAAGAAACGGCAACTTACTGTGGGGAAAATCTTCTGTCTAGTCAATCATGAATCGAAAGAGACATGATTATCCAGACGTGTATCACGTATGGCAATTAACTGACTAACAAATTAGATAGGAATTATAATCATATGTACACAACATAATTATAACGGTGAAAAGAAAATTACTAGATGCTCATTCAAAAGCAGTAGCTAATTTGGCTATGTTCAATCTAGCTAAATGGTATAGGAGGTCAGTTCAAATGACGATTTCTGTACAGGAATAAAGATTCGATTCCTGTCGGAGAATGTATATTTTCTACAAAATTTCTCGAATATTCAGGTCGGTAAATTTAATTAATACTGTTTAATTAAAAACAGACCATTTACTTAAATAAATTGTATCATAGATTATAAAAATAATATATAAACAGAAAATATATTAAATACATACACACACACACACACACACACACACACACACACATATATATATATATATATATATATATATATATATATATATATATATATATATATATATATAAGGCATGTGTTGTTAAAGACTACGGAACTTTTCCGTTTAACAATATTTTTCTGCTTTTTCTTGCAAGTTTTTTTTATTTTTATATATATATATATATATATATATATATATATATATATATATATATATTTGGGTCTAAGTTGTTGAAATAAGTCATTAGCAACTGTAAGAGTTAACAGTATGAAAATAGCGTTCTCTAAATTCTTCCAGTTACTAAGGATATTTTCTTTTGTTATTATTAGTCCAGGGATTTTTACGGAGCGCTTTTGGTTGTCATCAACCGTCAACATGGCTGTATGTTTTCGTCTGAAGTAGATTGCTTTTTATTTTTATTTTTATATATAATATTATGGTATTTAGACAATTAACAAAATGTGTTTACTATTTGGAGGATTAGTTATTAAATATGTTTAAGATGTTTCTGCCAGTATCAAATACTTTTTATGATACATACATACATACATACATACATATACACACACACACACACACACACACACACACATATATATATATATATATATATATATATATATATATTAAGACATTTTTATGTTTATACATTCTTTTTATAGATACAAATATTTAAGTAAATGGTCTGTTAAATATTTGTATCTATAAAAAGAATGTATGAACATAAAAAATGTTTTAAAATAATTGTCGGACATTTTCCATTTCATAATATATATATATATATATATATATATATATATATATATATATTGAGGAATATTTCATTAAATAATATAGACAAGGGTTGTCTATTTGTTTTATGTAAATTCTTTTCATAACGTCTGATGAACTTAATAACATTATCATTAAACGAAGAAAGAAAATCACAATATTGATCCATATTCTTTTAATCCAATCTAAGCTTTCGGCTTACGTAAGTCATTATCAAAGATGCCAATTACATTACAATATATTAAGCAATACACGGACAAGACAGTGATGATAGTCTGTTTCTGTTTACATGGAAAATTTCCAAGCAACAACAAACTTGTGCATATAAAGACGCTGGAAGCGAAAATCGCATCGCAACTCATGACGTCACACATGACCACGCGAGAGTGGAAACAAGAAGTATTAAGTATGGGAAACCGTTGATATAAACCAATGGCTTCTGTTACCAATATATATATATATATATATATATATATATATATATATATATATATATATCGTCTGCATGTATGCACACACAGAACTTATGCACACGGCACCCTAAATGATGAACTAATTAAAACTAATGTTGTTAATTCGTTGCTATTATTAAAAGTTTAACATGCGAGAATATAGATATATTTTTCCAGTTATTATTGTTGTACACTGTTGTTTTAATTATCTGACATCAAAACAATCTTTCAACAGTTTGTCATTATCGTAATAAGGCGATTGCTATTTGGGATTGTCGATGCAAGGGAAATAACTAAAGGATATTAATATTTTTTGAATTATCTCCCTTTAAGTAAAAAAAAAGTTACAGTCAAAAATAAACAAAAAAATGGAGGGAGGAATTGACGAAATCTCGGACCACAAAAGCTAAGAATTGGGACATCGAGATATGAAGAAATACATCAAATATGATCAAGTGGCAGATTCGATGTTCTAAAAGCTTTAAAGATATGAATGCGTGCAGTGATTGTTCAGCCGCTTCCATT